GAGGGCAACAAAACTAATTAGGGGAATGGAGGACCAGAGCTATGAGACGAGGCTTCTGACCTTAAACATGTTTACGCTGGAATTAAGGAGATTAAGGGGGGATATGATTTTCATGTACAAGATGTTCAATGGTGACAGCAACATTGGCAACAAACTGTTTGAGATTAACTCCATTACAAAGACTAGAGGCCACCACCTAAAGTTGGTGGAGAAAAAATTCCAGCACAATGGGCGAAGAGGGTTCTTTACAGTAAGAGCGGTTAAGGTCTGGAACTCGCTGCCACAGGCGGTGATTTCAGCCAGGAGTGTAGATTTGTTCAAGAAACGTTTGGACAATTTCTTGAGGGACCGTAATATCCAGGGATACCAGTATCCCTAAGAATGAGATGATGCATGGACCTATATGGGTTGGACTTGATGGGCGTATGTCTTTATTCAACCCCAAATACTATATAACTATGTAACTTCCAGCAGGATAACTCGCCATGCCATAAAGCTAACATCTCAAGCTGGTTCCTTGAACATGATAAGGAGATCACTGAACTCCAATGTCCTCCACAGTCACCAGATCTCAATCCAATGGAGCACCTTTGGGATGTGGGGTAAAGGGAGATTCCCATCATGGATGTGCAGCTGACAAATCTGCAGCAACTGCGTGATGCCATCATGTCTATATGAACCAGACTCTATAGCAGTGGTTCTCAAGCTGTGTAACCTCAGGACCCACATTTGTCCTCGGTCATTAGGGTACCGTGCATTCCGGTGCGTGCGTACAAACTGTGGACAGGAGGTGCATTTGGGGTACAATTCAAATGAATGGCAATGCAACATGTCTCCCGCACCAGAATGCATGGTACTATGTGATTAACGCACTGTACTTGTGTGAACCGGCCCTTAAAAAACACTGACACACATACACAACCACAGACACAATCTCACACACATACACACACATACACACTCCAAAATGTTTTAAATTTTTTTAAACATTTTTTTTTTTTTTGTTCCATCCAGTCTCCTTACCTTACAAGAACTGGAGTGGATCCCCAGCCTGGGGTCCAGTGTGGGCTGCTGTGCTGTGACGGAGCTCCATCCATATGTGCATTGCTTGTACAGCCTCCATGCGTGCCCTGTAGAGGTGCCAGGAGCCAGAATGTGATGTCACTCTGGTCCAGGCACCTCTACAGGACACGTGAGGGAGCTGTAAGCAATGCCCGTATGGATGGAGCTCCCTCGCGGCCATACCTCCATCCCATGTGAAGCTGACACTCGGCGCCGGGCAGCATATTTTGAACGGCTGCTCGGCGCGAGAACTGACAGTGCTGCCCTGGGGGGAAAGAAAAGTGGAAGACATGCGGTGACCCACTGAACACTGGCTCGCGTCCCACTTTTGGGTCACAAACCACCAGTTGAGAACCAAGGCTCTAAGCACCTGGAGCACTCCAGCACCTGGTGGAGTCTATGCCATGAGGAATTGGGGCAGTTCCAAGACGAAAGGGAGTCCAGCACAGTACTAGCTAGGTGTACCTAATAAAGTGGCAGTTGGGTGCATATAATACCACTAATGGTTGTTTTCTTTATGTGGGAAGTTGTTGAAGAGCACTTGTCTCCTATCATTAGATCATGTTTGACATTTTGAGAGATAACCAAGATGTATTATCCACTATATCCTCAGCATGCAGCAATGAGATATTCTGTGTCTTCCTCGCCAGGTACAAGAACTGCAGAGCCCCCCGCGTGCCAGCCAGGTGGTGAGAGACTGCGTCAAGGCCTGTCTGAACTCCACCTATGAATACATCTTCAACAACTGCCATGAGCTGTACAGTCGCGAGTACCAGTCTGACCCGGTACGTTTCTCCGTATGTAAAACCTGAATTTTCCTCGTCTGCCTCCCGTCCATATATAAATCTTGTCTGTCCAGATGAATGTTTTCCAGGCTGAGAAGCTCTCTTACCAACTTCCCTTTAGTAGATTATCCTAACAAACATTGCTTGTCATTATGTTCATATTACAAACATCTCCAGGAATATTAAACCTATTGACACAAAAGTGTGCACTAAGGTTGATATTCCCGGAGATGTTTGTAATATGGAACTTGATTTGGCATTGCTGGAAGATTGGTCAAAGCAGATGAAACAGCGCTTTAGAATTTCTAGTGCAAAATAATGCACCTAGGGAAAAATAATCCTCTGCCACAGTACAATATTGGGGATATCATGTTGGCCAAAACTACAGAATAAAAAAAAATGTTGGGGCTTATTTCAGATGGTTGCAAGATGAGCAAACTGGGACCTGGCAGTGGGGAAAGCTGGGGTGCATCACTAGAGGGATCCCCAGCAGGGGGAAGGAGGTCCAGATTTCTATATTTAGATCTTGAAATATCACTAGAGGGATCTCCAGCAGGAGGAAGGAGGTCCTGATCCCTCTATATAGATCTTTATTATCACTAGAGGGATCACCAGCAGGAGGAAGGAGGTCCTGATTCCTCTATATAGATCTTTATTATCACAGGAGGGATCCCCAGCAGGAGGAAGGAGGTCCTGATTCCTCTATATAGATCTTTATTATCACTAGAGGGATCCCCAGCAGGAGGAAGGAGGTCCTGATCCCTCTATATAGATCTTCAGTTAGACCTCATTTAGAATATGTGTCTAGTTCTGGGAACCTTGCATACAATTAGATATTGATAAGACAGAATGAGTCAAGAGACCAGCAAGAAAAATGGTGAAAGGTCTAAGGGATAAAACACATCAGGATAGACTGCAGTAACTGAATTTACAGTCTGGAGGAAAAAATGTAAAGGGCAGGACATGATTGAAACCTTAGAATACGTGACAAGTCTAAAAATCAGGAGGTCACTATGTTCAGTATAAAACTTAAGCTGACCATACACTGCATGCGTTTTGGCCAAGTCATTTGAGCTCTGACTGGCACTGTTTCCGCCACTCTGTTTTTCAATCAAGTTTTGTCAAAGAAGCTGGCCCGAAAACAGTGACTGCAGCCACTCGGATATTCTGGCATCTACAGGCACCGACTGTGACAATACATTAGCCCGGCAGCTTGAGATCAAGAACATGAAAACGTGGCCTCAGATTAGCAGGAGGAAAGTTCAAAACTAACTTTAGAAAGTATTATTTTATCAAGAGACGTGGATGCTTGGAATAGACTTCTTGGAGATGCTCGGAGCAGAGGCAGTGAGTTAATAACATGGCAGAATGGTAGGACCTAAAGATGAAGGTCCCCTTTTTAGTTTTGGAGTCTTTTTTGCTTGGTGCCCTTGGATATTATGTGGCTTCTTGGGCAATGATGTAAAATGCAGCTATGTTTGCCTTTCCATCTTCATCTCCATAGTAAAGGCAATTACAATTCCTTACAGCCGTTCCTTAAATACTGTATTTCCATTACACGGTTTGTACAATGGATTTCCACATAGAGGAGGAGGAGGGGTTGGCTCTAAATATTGACTACAATTTTCCACGCAGGTGGTCTCTTAATTGCCATGCAGGAGTTCTCTTCACGTTGGTAAAAAAATTCTCGTGCAGGAGGTTTCTGTACATTGGCGACAAGTGCCCCCATAGGGGGTCTCTGTACATTGGCAACAAGTTCCCACGCAGTGGGTCTCTGTACATTGGCAATAGGTTCCCTCATGGGGATCTCTGTACTCTGAAAACAATCTCCCACGCGTTCTTACTTTGTGAATTGTAACAATTTCCCACAGAGGGTTTTCATGTATATTGGCAACAGCTTTCTTTGCACATTGGCCACGTGTTCCCGTGTCAGTCGTCTCTGTATATCGGCAACAAGATCCCACACGGGTGGTCTCTGTATATTGTCATTATTTCCTGTTATTTTGGAACATCTTATTAGCATGCTATGACCCAGATTATGAAATTCCTCGGTGCAGAATATGCAGGGACTAACCTTCTCTACAAACATTCCAAGGACGGGGAACACCAACTTCTTCTAATATCTTTCTGCAAAGTCATTCCACAAGTGAACCTGTAAATTCCTAATATTGTCCTTTCATCTGATTATAATGTTTCTTTATGGTGTTCCTTCTCCAGAACAAGAAGCAGGATCTACCTCCCGAAGAGCAGGGGCCTTGTATAAAGAACCTGGATTTCTGGCCCAAGTTGATCACGCTGATTGTATCGATTATCGAGGAGGATAAGAACGCCTACACTCCCGTACTAAACCAGTAAGCAGCTCCCGCCGCTGTCTGGGCGCTTCATGTCCGCCAACCGCCTTGTCTCTTTCTAACCCTTCTGTGCTTTGTAGAGCGGTCATCTCCTGTCAGTCTGTCTTCCTGTCCGCTTTGTCTCTTGTTGTATAAGTGACGTCGGCCAAGCTTCCTGATGGCAGGGTGAGTGTGGGGAACACGTTGCTCGTGCTTGCCTGTCGCCTGAGTGGCGGTGCATTGCATGCTGACCAGGTTTGGATGAGAGTTGGGTGGGCTGGGTCTCCTTGTGTAAGGTATTATCCATCAGCAAGATTAGTTTTTAATTGCAGGCGGGGGATGGTAAAAGTATGTTTTAAGTATAGTTTAGACATCGTATTATGAACCATAGTTTTAGGTGAATTAACACAGTTTTAATAATCTCCAGATAAATCAGTGTTGGATCTGTATGGCAGAAAATACCGCATCCAAGACTGATAATGTGTAATACAAACTTCCATTTTATTACTGGGTTTGATGTCCAATAGCAGAAACCAAGCCTCCCTTCTTGCCCACCGCCATACTGGAATTTAACTTGGGGCAGCTGGACTCCTATGCAGGACTGGGGGGTGCGTGTTAGTTTGTACTTACCACAGATGGTCAGATATCTCAATTAGAAAGATGCGTGGGAAGACGTTTTCATGTCCTCCACTCGCTATTGTGATTTGGATAACTCAGCCAAAGGGCACGATACTGGACACGTGCGGCCAGTCTTTCCTTTCCTCATTCACAAGGGGTGAGAAGTTGTTTATTCTCTCCTCCTAGTATTTCTAAATGGTCCATTGTCACGTAGTCATCTCACTGGGCTGTCAAATTGGGGATTTAAGATGGAATTGTCCACAGCCAACATTCCACGTGAGCTTTAGATGTAGAAGGTGGAAAGGGAAGCTGAACAGATGCTGTCGTAGAATATGAGAAATGGGTTTGTGGGGAATGTGGTCCATGGGGTCAGTATATATGCAAGATTGTACCCAGGGCACTTGTACGGGTGGATCAGTCCATCTGAGGAGCTTGTACGGGTGGTCCAGTTCATCTGAGGAGCTTGCACAGGTGGTTCACTCCATCTGAGGCGCTTGGACGGGTGGTTCACTCCTTCTTAAGATGTGTATAGTTTGTACAGTCGATCAAAGGAGCTTGTATGGGTCATACAGCACAGAACCATTAAAAGACTGAAACTTAAATAAGATAAAGACATTTCATATACTGTCTATTCTGCATGTGTAGGGTGATCATTCTTTTAATCATAAAGTCCACTTGGCAGGCTACTCATTTAGTGAGAGAAGGACCAGTGTGCTATACCAGTGTGCAGAGATGGAGGAAATGCCTTATAATAGGCACAGAAGATGTGCAGAACTAGGAACTCAGTGCGGGGATGATGGGAACCCCTAATAATGGGCATGGCAGGTGAGCAGGGGGGTCGTGGCAGCTCATAATGGGCACAGCAGATGTGTAGACTTAAGAACACAGTGGAGGGATGTCTTACAATCCCGTGAGATTGGAGTTCCCTCCAGGCTCTTCTGTCTCCTGGGGATTGTAAGAGACCCCTGCACTGAGCTTCTAAGTCTGCACATGTGCTGTGCCCATTATGAGGAGTTCCCATCACCCCCCTGCTCACCTGCTATGCCCAATATGAGGGGGAGGTCATTTCTGGGATCCAGCAAACGCTGATACCTTACATTGGTTTCAGTTGGCTTGACCCTTAGGTGCAGCAAATGATAATATTTTATGTCACGGGGCCCAATAGATATAGTGATTTGTGGATGGATGTTGGACACTTTGGACAGCTCCATAGTCTAGGTGGGGTACGTTTGAGATGCATGTAATACATTTCTCCTGCCGGGAGGCGCTATGTTTGTCTTGGCTTTGTATGTTGGCTGAGCATACACCTAAAATTGCATGTGTTTTTAAAGGGGACCTGTTGCTTTAACATAACATTTAGACTTTGCAGAACTGAAATTATACAGAACATATCTCAGGATAAAGGACAGCCAGTTCCCCAGATGGTGGTTTGTGTGTGATGGGACCTTCAGTAGGAGAGCAGGCATAAAGGACAACAATGTATCTTCTTGGGCCTGTGGGTATAATTATGCATCATAACAAAGAACCCTAAAGTAAATTATAAAATTACAGTTCTTTCAATAGGAGGCGGCAGTTCCTCTTGAACCTTTCTGCACTGTGCGAGGTTGGAATAGCAACTGGGTGCTGGGTATAGCTATGGATTAATATGCTAAAACAAAACAAACACATCCTCATTTTGGACATCCAGCATCTACCAAACATGTATGCGCAGGATGCTGGTGGATCCTTTTTTGAGAACTGCAACAGGTCCTCTTTGTATATTTTGCATGCTTTTTCTTGCCAAATTAATCTTCTCTATCCTGCATCTGTTGGTTACTTAACTGACTTAAAGCAGAACAACAGTTTGCCTTTTCCTACTCCCTGATTACACCGCCCCCCCCTTGCCCAACCTCTACCAATACATTTAAACAGCACTGCACTGTGATACCAAACCAACATGGTGATGCACCCTAAGGTGGTGTGTCACTGTCGGCCTGGACTTAAAGAAAGTGGATTGAATGATGCTGCTTGTCATTCAATCCAAGGGAGCCACAACCAGGGGAGGTGAATCTGCTGGGGTATGGCTCTGGAGAGGGGGTGAGTATTGCAGGGCCGCTTTTATGCCTTCTACTGCTTCTGATCTTTATATTATTAATCCAGATTTCTGCTTTAAGACTAACTGAAAACTGTTACATGGCTAGAATTAGACTCGTGTAGTCTGGCTTATTGAACTGAGCTTTTAGTCAATATTGTGACCCTCATAATGTCAGGGCTCCATTTTTGCTATAAGGAGCTCTGTGTTGGGTTGGAGTCTAGTAGGGACAAATCCAGGTGAAATGATTGTCGTGTTGGGTTGAACCAATGAGGCTGGTTTTAGAAATTTGAATCTTGTGAAAAAAGATGAAAATCTAACATGATAATCTGCCTGTCCATTCAGCTTTGTAAGGCCCGTGTTTCCACCAGTGGGAGAGAGCCGACAACTGAAATATGTTAAAGCATTATCTGTGTGTTTTATGTTCTGGTAGAAATACCCCATTTTGCTTTACCCCATACTGCTGCGGCATGAGAGGATGCTCAAATGAAAAGACAGCCCATCGTTGATCATACCTGGTTGTGTCATGTCAGCAGTTTCCCTCCACCTAGACCGTTATCTATGTGTCTGAGGTATTACAAGACTCCAGTTACTGAGAGCAAATTAAATACAAAAACAGAATCTCTATCCCCTCTCTCTTCTCTTCCCTCTGTCTTCTCTCCCATCTCTCTCTTCCCCCTCCCTCTCTTTCCCCCCTCCCTCTCTTTCCCCCCTCCCTCTCTTTCCCCC